AGGACTTTCTGTTTAACTTCATATCCTCCAAGGTAGCAAGTCTCAGTGTTTTATCCCATACACGTGGGTCAAAGTATGACATTTACAACTAGTTCTCTACTCACTGGGAAAGAAGCATCCTATCTTCAGGTACATGTCCGCATTTGCTCCACGTGCACTCTCAGAACAGCTCAGGTAAAGTAGATTAACCTAAAATAACACCTCTGTCTCCTGAAGTTCCTGCTGGCTGACTTTGCCTCTACTCTTAAACAGCAAGGCAACTTAACTGTTTTCGCTTTCCCCAGATTTAAGCATGCACATGTCTTTGTGAAATCTTCTACCCAACAGGAAATGATACATAGATGATAGATAGATAGATAGATAGATAGATAGATAGATAGATAGATAGATAGCAGATTTCCCAAAATCATTTGCATGCTTATGATGAGTTCAAGAGCAACCTAAACTATATGGTAAGGCCTTGTCTCAAACACCAAATAGAAAAAAGAAGGGAAGGAAGGAAAGAAGGAGGGAGGGAGGGAGGGAGGGAGGGAGGGAGAGAGAGAGAGAGAGAGAATTGTATATATTCAACCAACTGGAAAGAAGGCAATCATGTAAACACTTAATAGCATTTCCAATATACTTGTCTGAATATATGAAAGCCACAAAGAGAGAGAGATTCTATTATAGCCACTTTATACCTGTACAGAGCAAGAAGAGCCTTAACATAGCCTCAGAAAAAATGCTGATGCTTCAGAACCAGGACATTTCTCTGCCTTGTTAGTTGCAAATGCCTTTCCCCACAGTGGCCATTTGGAAGAGAACAGCCTCCAGGACTTCCTATTTAACTCTCATCTCTGCATCTCTGCAAGGCTGTGAATCCCACTGCTCCATCCCCTACTCTGGGGTAAAAGCCATGCCGTTTATATCTACTTCTCTCCCACGTGTATCTAATTCTCACATTCTCTTCCTTAACTCCAAGTAAGAGTACTGCTCTCAAGAATATAGGCAAAGTGCATTCTGGGACTACCAGCTTGGGTACCTGGTGGTTCTGTCCCAGCTGCCTTCCAGGTGCCCTCCTGCTCTATATCCGTGATGTTGTGCCAAGGAAGCAAAAAATAAGCCTAGTATCAAATTCTCTGTCTAGTCACACTTCACAAGAAGATTCGCTTGAGGAGGGTTTTGGTTCAAATGCATTCGAAATTAAAGAGGGGAACGTTGGGGAGTTTCTTAATAACGAAGTGTTGTGCTGTGTTTGCGGTCAATCCTGCACACAATTCCGAACAAGAGAATGCATGAAGACATGGCGGTGCAGTGGGTACCACTCACTAGCAGCTCTTATGCTCCTGGCTTTCGCATCTCCTCTAAGGCCCTTAACAACCTGAAGAGCAAGAGATAAGATCCCGTTTTACACTGGCTACAATGGAGGCTTATAAAGGCTAGATGACCTCTTCAAGGTCATGTGAAAATCCGGACCTAGGGTTCAAACCCTGACCTTTCCCTATTCCGTAGCCCAACTGCAGCCCTGCCCCCAGCTGGAGCAGCACTTCAAACAAAGGTCGCTGTCCTCCCTGTGAGACAAACTGGCTTCTTAAAATTTTTTTTATTGAAATTGTATATATTTAAGGTATGCAGCTGCTGTTTTGATCTGCATATCCATACTGAGCTGATTGCTTCAGTCAATGTAATTAACATACCCAACTCCTCACGGTTCGTGTGTTGTGAGGACACTCTGGATCAACACTCAGAAAATTTCATGTGATGCACTGTTGTCAACTCGCGTCCCCTGATATACATTTGATTTCCAAAACTTGTTTATTCTATAGAAATGAAGCTGTGTCCTTTCCAATAGCCATCTCATTTCCTCTCTCCTTTCAGAGGAAATGAAATCGGTATCTGAAAGGAATAATGGCGCTCGCGTGCTCACCGCAGTATTAGTCATAATAACTATGATATGGAATCAACCCTAAGTGCCTGTCAGTAGATGAATGGAAAGTATTTAGTTTGCCATTTGCGACAACATGAATAAACCCGGAGGACATTATGCTGCGAGAAATAACCAGATGAAGATAAGAAAAGTACTGCATAATGTCACTTACGCGTGAACTGTAAACGTGTGTACGCGTGCATGTATGTATGGCAGAGAAAGAGACTGTTCTGTAACCCTGACTGGGCTGTTGACACGGGTGTGAGGTTGTGGCACACCCTTGAAGTCCTCGATCTTGGACTCTTGGTTTCAAAGGCAATGACCAGAACGGAAGGTGCCAGGGAGCAGAGGGGTAGCATCCAAGAAAGCCTTTTGAGATCATCAGTTTAATCAAACAAGCAAATAAGCATTGTGTCGTGGTAATTATGAGAGTGAGACATCTAGAAGCTGGAGCTGTAGACAAAGGTTGTCCGCAAATGTGTCGTTAGCTAAGTTGGCATTGTCAAGTTGTTTAAGCTTGCAGAGCAAGTCACTTCCATTGCTTCCCCTCACACGATGTCTCTGAGCTCAGAAGGAGATGCAGAGTGGTTAGAGAAAGTGTTCCTACAGCACAGCCTTCAAGAGGGGAAGAGCGCTGAAGGAGACAGCGCCAGTCAGCATCAGCTGCGTCTGTATGCACTGCCCTTCCTCTCCAGGGCCGGTTTCCTCGGTTCTGCACTGTTGTCTTCCTATTGGCAAAGGAAGTTCTCATGGGTTGAGTTTTCACATAACACTCCTCAAATACACAGGGGCCAACTATGTACATGATGGAAAAAAATAACTGTTGCTTTATGGTGGGATGGGGCATTGCCTTACCATACAGCATCCCGAGGTCTGCAGATCTCACCCCTTCCTCCAAGTATATGCTCCTCACTCTTCAGGGCTCCTGCAAATCTTGGGTATTGATCCTCTGGAATGCCAGCCATGCCCCTTTCCCACGTCTCAGCCTAAAAAGGCAGCTAGCCTTACGTGAGCTCCCTGTCATCTTTGCAGCGTCTACTCTGAAGTCCACAATGTGTCAACTGAAGGGATTACACCTGGGTGTTTTCTTATTAATTCTCCCTCCTAGGAAGCAGGGATCTATTCAAGGCAACAAGTGAAAGACTGGAAAGGCTGAAAAGGAACCATCCAGCCTCTCTTTAATAGTCAATGATGGGGACAAGAGGAGGGCAAGTGAGAAGCACAGGCTTTTGCTTCCCAAGGCAAAGGCTGAGCTAGCTAGTGGTCCACATTCTGTCTACCTTCATGGTATAAGCCTAGTCTATGGCTGTTTTGTTGTTCTGTTTTGAAACATCAGTTCCCCAAACTCCCAGGTTCTATAGTATGCCCACAAATCAGAATTAGTGCCCTTAGACTACATGGAATGCTATAAAATACTCCTTTTTTTTTAGACTAAGCATTTGAATAGCCCAAACCAAATAAAACACTGGTTGAAACAACTCTAGCTGAAAAGTGGTAAGGATGGCCCTCAGAGGTATCCCAAGACCCCTGACCCTGAGACCCATAACCACGGGTCCCAAGATATAACTTCTGTGGATTGCTTCCAGTCACCTTCAATGCCAAGAAGTCAGGGAAGAAACCCACGCTTTCCATTGGAAAGTCAAGGGATCCATGATCCCTTTGGACCTGGGACAATTGTCTTTCAATGTGAAACCCATGTCCACCAACCCCCATTTACCATAGTTTATCAATATGTATCTTGATCAAGCCCAGGTATTTTTGCTAAATGATAATGGCTATTCATTACTTTTTCATTCCGAGTCATAGAAGACCAGAATTGCTAGAAGGCCATGAATGGGGTTTCTGTTAATGTAACGAATGGGTAAGCATTGCGGATAAGCCGCCGTACATTACTCTGGGAACTTAGCAAACCTTTCTGAACCAGTTTGTCTCTCAAAAGAAAATGTTTGACATCGTTTATTCACTTGCAAGACTGTTCATGTGATCAATATCTGTATAGGACGTTGACTGGCCACTGGGTTGTAGCAATGAATTAAACAGATACAGCCTCTGCCCTCAGGAAGCCTTCGTAAATACACATATCTTCAATGAAGACCTAGTAGATGCTGGATTTGCTCGTTTGGGACACTGCTTTTATTGAATATTGACAGCAGGAAAATGGGAATACCATTATTGTCTCTATGATTGAAGAAATGTATGTAACTTGCCCAAGGGGTGAAGTGGGTAATAATTTTGATCTAAGGCCATTTCCATATGAAGGTGTAAGAAAGCCTCCCACAGCACGGTTCACATCGTCTACTATTAACCCTAAAACTAGGTCTAGCTACCCCAAATACCCAACTAGGTGTTTATTTATTTAGTTAGTTAGTTAGTTATTTTCCTTTTTTTATTGATTGATTTTATCGAGCTCTACATTTTTCTCTGCTCCCCTCCCTTCTTCTCCCCTCCATTTCAACCCTCTCCCATGGTCCCCATGCTCCCAATTTACTCAGGAGAGCTTGTCTTTTTCTACTTCTCATGTAGATTAGATATGTGTATGTCTTTTTGAGGGTCCCCATTGTTGTCTAGGTTCTCTGGGATTATACAGCAAAAAAAAAAAATAACATCTTGAAATTTGCAGGCAAATGGATGGAGCTAGAAAACATCATATTTGAGTGAAGTAACCCAGACCCAGAAAGACAAATATCACATGTACTCACTCATAGGTGAGTGAACATAAAATTAAAAAAAAGAATAACCAGCCTACAAATCACAATTCCAACTAGGTGTTTTAAACCAAGCAGCATGCCTTGTCTGGGCAGCCATTCCAAAAGGTGCCTTTTGACATGTTCAGTGGAAAAGTCTGGAACTCCTAAGCCTCCAACATAGGCCTTCTCTAAGCTGTTATGGTGTGGAAGAGTGTGGAAGGGCTAGCTTTAAATTCAACTAACAGGTTAGGTTTAGAAGTGTGTTTTCAGCAATGCTGGTTCATCCAATGAAACAAAAAAGAAAGAAAAAAACAGAACCCTTATTATGCTAATAACTCATTAATGGACTGAAATTGAGATTTTATGGGTTTATTTCTATTTTTGCTTATGTGGGGCTGTGGTGACAATAGAATGGATGCCAAGAAAATCAAAAGAATACACCCAGATAGGAACACAACTTCGAGGTATGAAGGCCCCACTGTGGACTTCACTAACTTGAAAACCCTGAACATTTTACATGGAAAGAAACCAGTTCAGCTCTTCCCAGAGCTGAAACTGGAGAGGAATTAGTTTTCCACTTGGAAGAAATGGGTCCAATGAGTCAAATACATGCAAGCTGTAGGAGATACCACTTTTAAAGAGTCATAGGACATGTCAGCTGAAAGGGTGCCGGAAGTCTGGAGAAACACGATCTCACATGTAACGCTAAAGCAAAGGGCTAAATACCCAGCGCTAAAAAGAGAACTGCACAGAAATAGTAAACTAGATTGCTCGTTGATTTATCCAGTGAAGGATGGTTGAGCTAAGAAACCATGCCGTGATCTCAGCTGAAGTCCCCCAACCTTCATTCAGAATGGGTTCCTAGCAGCTAAGTGCGCCAGCACCAAACTACCTCGTCAGTTCCTCCTGCAGCCTCCTAACCACAGTATCCATTAACCCTGCCCTACCCCCCCCCCCCGTGTCCGTTTATGGGTGAAGAGCAAGCTGCGTTGGTGCCTTCTCAAGCAGTGGCCCTGAACCCTCGATTCGTCCTTGCCTCGGCTCTGTTTTGTGGTTTTGTATGGACAGCATGAACTTTTCCATTTGCAAAAAGGGTTTAATCAACTGTCAGTGTTTTGAATCAGATTAAAACCACAAATACTTCCAGAGCTGTGTATTTGTTCTGTCCTGCTCGATGTACTCATTTTATCTTGTGAAGGACAGGGCAAAGCCAGCCGGACGCTAATGAATCCCTCGCAGGAGGCAGGTTTGCTGATGGTCAGGAGTGATGAACGTTTATCTTCAAAGATGCTGGCCAGAATTCTCCCTCTTCTCTTGGCACATCTAAGTAAATAAATAAATAAAAAGGACATCATCTGCGAGGCTGTTTTATTTGTCTGTGTTTTCAGAGCCGCGCATTTACATACTCTTGAAAGCAATCAATATAAGCAAGCCCAGGTCTTCCAAGAGCCCTTAATTATACGTCCGAGATTGTATTCACATGGAATACTTGTGTTGCTGAAATGTCGGCCCCCCACCCCACCCTTTTGAACTGCCATGTGAGACTCTTCGGAAGCAAAGAGTAAAATCAAGAGTGTAACAGGCAAAGGCACAATGAGTTGTTAAATGTGATGGCAAAATAAAAAAAAAAAAGTAAAAGCTTCAGTCGGTATGATCAGTAAAGGGGAGAAAAAAAAAGGCAGCCAGGCAAACTGTCTATCATGTGATGAAATTTGACAGCAGGGATTATGGCTTTGATGGACCAGAACAGCTAATAGAAGAAGCTGACATTTTTGAAACCCTGCTAATTAAGGGTTCCTTCCTTAATATTAAAATAAAGTCTTTGTCTGGGTTTTATGGTTGGAGAATCAGGTGTTTTCATTAATATATGCCAGTCAGTCTTAATAAGCTTGGAGGGCAGAGGAAGTTATTATTGAGTGACCTTCTACAAAATAAGCATGTTGCTAAGGGCTCTAACCCTGCCCTGTTCAGACTGATGAATCTCATTTCCAATGCAAAAGCTTCGCAAGAAATCCAAGTATTCTCTGTGCAATCACAGAAAATAATCCTTGTGTCTCTTGTAATGTCCAGAATTGCCACTTACTACACTACTACTGTACAATGAATATTACAATGCATATTATTTTTCTACCGCGATTGTCTACATTTCTGAATTGCCCGGAATAGAAAAACTTATTGTGAAGACACTTGTATTGAAAAGTCAGCTCATTTTAATACTTTTCAAATAGTCACCTACTCTGTTCATGAATTATAATGCCTAGAATACATCTGACAATACTGGCTTTGAAAGGGAGATATGTCTATATTATTACATATTCATTTTCAAATAGATTTCAAACAGATTTTAAACCATTCATTGAAATTCATTGAAATGATAAATTCACAGTTGGATTTTGATTGACTCTTAATCCAATTTTACTTTTGATAAGTTTTTACCCTTTCCTTCATGCCCACCCCCAACCTTTCTCAACCAATGTAGCTTTTTGCTCGTCGATTGGTTTGTAAAACAGAGGTGATAGGGTATGGTAAAACTTGAAGGTTTTGATGACTGTGTATAAAATTTGTCAAAAAGAATTCATAAATTAAATTGAAGTCTGTAAAGCAACATAGTCTGGCTGTTTTATCTTATTAATTTCCAGCATGCCAGTGTGTGGCTTGTGAAACCCGTATCTGTGGCCACTGGCTGTTGCTTCACAGCCTAGAGCAAAACCTGAAAGCACTTTTCAATCACTAGGCTATGCCACCACCTCTAGAGCACAGAAATTTGGGGTATTAAATGGGACCATGGATCACTCACCTTCGGGTTTTGTGCTCGGCAAGGGTGCTTCTCCTAATGTGATCCCACTTTCTATCCCAGAAGCATAGGACTCATGGCCAGGCCAAACAACATCGAGTTCACTGGTGTCTCTCCAGAAATGAAAGAAACTAAATTAAAACATACCAAAACGTGCCTGGATTTTATGCTCCCCGTGAGAGGGAAAAACATCTGTCATAAACTGTATCTAGGCATGTTAGATGTAGTATCAAGGTCTTGAGCTAGCGTTTCAGTCCAGGTCTACAATAGAACAATTGTCATTGAGGTTTAGATCTGAGAAGAAAGTGTACTATTTCTATGAGTGATTACACAACACTGCTAATATTTAAAAGGAAGGGAAAGGTAATTCACAATACTGTGCATCTCTTTAGGGCCAAGATAAGTAACTTGGTATCTAATGGTTTTCCCAGTATCCTCGGCTTATCCCAACAGTGGTGTATACCACCCTCTCCTTTGTAAGCACCAGCTAGCCAGCTCTGCCTCTGTGGTCACTCCCTCAGCTTTGCCATCTGAGACAACCCTGCTTTCTGTGCAAGACCAGAAGAAGGGGTTGGTTGCTCTCCCAACTTTGGTTCATAGTCCCTTTGGGATACATCCATACAGCTGTGGATGAAGGATAAGCTGTATCTGTATCAATAACTCAGGAGCTTCCTAACACAAAGACTCTTGGGTTCTAGATCCATAGAGCTAGAATATGGAGGGGCCCAGGGGCCCACCTTTGGGAAGTCTTGGAAGGGTCTGGAGAGATTTAAGTAGCAGTGACCTAAAATGCTCACATCACAAATTAATCAGCCACTGCATTGATTCGTATTTTTGTGGTGGCCTCTTATTCTGCAGGGGTCCACAGTACCTCATAAACCCCTGGGGGGCTGGGTACTTGCTGTAATTCCTCTGCTCCTCCATAACCGCACAGGGTCTTACAAAGAAGTGATCAGTGAGATTTGACTGACTGATTAAATCTACAAGTTCAGTTCTTTTATTTGAGAAGCGCTCCTGTTTCTGCTGTTTCCTTCTTCTATCTTCCCTGCCCCATGGTAGCTTGGTTAGTGCTTCAGTCCAGGGATTTGTGCTCCAGGTCAGCGCTGTCCAGCAGAAGCACTGCAAGCTGCACATGCAATTTAAAATGTTTTAGTAGCCACTTTTTAAAAACCAAATTAGTTTCATGCTCACACGCGTGCGTGCGCGCACACACACACACCACACACACACACACACACTTTTTTGGCCTTGTTTTAAGTCTTTAGGGTCTGGTGCGATTTTTACACTTACCAGTTCATTATAGTTCAGAAGCAGCCATATTCCATGTGTGTGGCTACCATGTCGTGGCCAGCACGGCTCTTGTAAAAATTCAAGAAAAAGTGGCATAAGTGACTATGTAATAAAACTTTAGCTTAATCATGTGTAAGTAGCATGCTTTTCTGGTAAGATAGTACACTGAGTTCTCAGAAGGACGTGTTCTCCCTCACGTGCGCCACACTGCCCTCCAGATATCCTAAGAACACACACTCCTCTTGGCTTCTGGGAAGACCCAATTCTTCTGGCAGATGGTCTTCGCTTGCCAGTTGTAATTATGTTCCATATTATAACAAGACTAAGTTACAACCTGTTGTTAAAATGCGTGGGCTCAATGTATTCCTTTAAAACAGCACCTAAAGATGTGCAGGGTATGGCCCCACTTCAGAGAAAATAGCCGCCATAGTCGAAAGAGTTCCAGCTGCCAAAATCCAGCCATAGAAATGATGCGCCAAGGCCATGGTTCCCACATGACACCCAGGAGCTTCCCAAGATTTGCCTGAACACATCAACGAAGAAGGCTATAGAAGGAACAATAACTATGTAACCTCAGAGGAATTTATTTTTTGTTGTTCTTTTCTTTGGAGTAATACTCAAGTTTCTTGATGTATCCCAACCATCAACTTTCTCCAGCAGCTAAGCTACTTAAGTCCGCTTGGCATTATCTGGAAAGAGAAGTTTTGAAAACTCTTTAGAAAGGCATGGAAGAGATGAGCACTGTTTTTTTTTTTTTTTAAAGAAAGAGCCTGTGACATGCGCACATTGGTCCAGTCTGGGATACCAAGGTGTTGGCTGAGCAGGGGCCACCTTTTAGGTTGCTTTCTCTGGATGTAGGAATAAATTACTCTGTTCAGCTTACCTAATTAGATTTCTGTTGTTTATATTTTATTCTCATATTTTTTTCTTTCTCCTTTTTCTTTTAGTATCTTTTAAGCATTATTCCTGAGCAAGGAATGTCATTGGTAATTCTTCATAGTGTGCCCCTATAAAACTCAAGAGTGATTAATTAGATTGTTTGTGTGCATTTTATTATTTATTACGGTTTATGTGATTATCATCTGTGTGCATTAACCATATCCAAGGTTTTAGTCATATAAGCCATGCAGTTTTACTGTGACTGGAATAAAATAAAAGTCGCTCTGTATGAATTCTCAAAATAGAAAACTCAAGCCTGGAATTATTATGGTTTCCCTAATCCAGTTACCATTCTCTGAGCTGAAAACTCTGTTAAATTCCAATCTTAATAAAATTTGTTTGCCTTTGCTGCTGCTGTTGTTCACATGATCAAAAAGGGGAGGAGGGCAGATGTTAACTATGAGAATGATAACAACAGCTAAACAAAACTTGAGGCCAATAGGGAAGGCTGTCTTTGCAAAGTGAATCCTGATTTAAATGGCAAATAGTGAAGCGTGGAAAATTTGAGGGTAATGGATTAACTATGCCAATATCAAGTATTTTATGTTGATTGGTCTCCTTACCACCAAAGTAATGAAGATGCTTTCAGAGTGACATCTTACTACCCGTTTGATCTTCAGAGAAAGAAGGATTGACTTTAGCGACTTTGTTTCTAATGCTCCTTTCCTTTTCTCTGTGATGTAACCTCCTCTGGTATCCCTTCCCTCCTGGTGCCCTGATAAATGCTGCAAAGCTGCCCTTTCCTGCCCCTCAGACACTTTAAAACTCCCGAACTCTGGCAACCTGGAAAAACAGGTTTTAAACTCTCCTGATTTGGTCACAAATCTCTGGCTCCTTCTTCTGATGGAGTGGCCGCTCTGACAAACTCTCTGCTCTCTTCTTTGAGCTGGGGCCTCTTAGTGAAAGAGAAAGAATATCGACGTACCAAGACTGCCCTAAACCACTGCTTCCATAATGTGACCTGGTATCAGTACACTTGACCCATAATGATGACGACTCGTGATGCTGCCTACCATTCATTGGCTGAAAATGGAAGAATCTCAAAGACCCTGCTGTCTGTTTTATACTGAGACCATTCCTGTAAGGATTTAAGCATTTGCACTTGGAATCTGGACTCTGCAGAAGTCCTCATAGGGCTTTTCTGAATACTTAGCAAACCATGTTAACTATGGACTGATAAGTTTACCTATCAGGCACTAGAGTCACAGAAGTAGAGATACTCCTACCCAGAGCCACTGTGTCAAGTCTGAATACATCTATGAAACTTGCTGTTTGTTCTTCCATTCCACAGTCTGTGGGACCCTTGTTCACTCTGGAGATGAGGGGACATCATGGCATTCCCCTGGCCCTACTCATCGGGTTCAGAACGGGTTTACAGTAAGGCTTGGCATGCTGCTGTTGCAAGTCGGATACTCTGGGGGTTATAGAAGAGTGAATAAAAACAGAAATAAAATGTAGTTGGCCTCGCCGATTCCCGCAGGGACCGAAATGTTTATTTCTGGAGATAAAATAAACACACCGTGCGGTATCTTTCTGCGCACGCTCTTCTGAGGGAAAACTCTGGCAATGCATCTCTGAGCAGAGTGGGTTCGTTTTCTTATTTGATGACGCTGAAAGGGTTTTCGTTCCACCTCATCGTCCTGATACAGAACCTTTCTTTCTTCTTGTTCTACTAATTTATACATGTATTTCTGTAACAGACCCAAGGCTTTTATGTGTTTTTTTCTTCCCTTCAGATAAGTCAGCAAACACATAGAATGAGACAGAGCAGTAAAGAACATCAACTCTCTGTCAAAACAGTTCATAAATATTCAGTAGAATTCTGCAATATGTAGGAAGCTATGAAGATGGCATTAAGATACCAGTAAATCCAAAGAAAACCTGTGCTAATCAAGCTATCATATCTTATTATATTTTATTCCCTTATCACTTTATTATCCTTCGGTAACACAAATGTGACCCCCAAAAAAACTGCAAATCCTAACCTGCTGTGGTGAGATAGAATTTCTACCTTATCCCAGGTCGGGCTTTTCTAACGAATATGAGGCCTCTTGGCAGAGCTGATGGCTTAACCTAGGAGTTAGCTTCTAAGTCAGCTCCCACCAGCACAGTCTCCCTTGAGAGTGACTTCCAGACATCATTGGTGTCCCCTGTGGAGTTGGCCAAGCTGGAAGAGGACCCAATTGAGAGCACCAGTCATTAGTACTACAAGGTCCTCAAGAGATTTTTTTAAGTGTCTTCCAAAAGGATTATGGCATTTCTGCCTTAAATGGGAGGCCTTGAAAAAAATGTCTTTATGTAATAAAAATCATCCCTGTATTGTTTCTTAGATGGAAATCTCTTAAAGAGATACCTGAAAAATGGGCTTTCTGATTTGACCTCAAAGCAAAATCCTCTTGTGTGTTGCACAGTGGAGGTGACTTAGTGTCACTGCTGGTCCCTTACATGTACCAAACCTTCCTAATTAAAGGGGCTTTGAACCCATGAGGATCCCTATCAGGACACTGATATAGTTAAAGAGTGCGTCGCTCACTCTAGAGACTCAAACCATGGCTACCGACATGCTTGCTTGATGTTTGGAAAGCACAAGAAACTCCCTGTCCTAGCTGCCAGCAGGGCACATGACCCCACATGGGAAAGTCAAACCATTATATAAATATATTTTACGTTTTCCACAGAACTTCAGTTACAAGAGCACCTGTGTCTAGTGTGAAAATGTCATGCAAGCTGATAGATCCTGAAGTATGTTTGAGGGAAAGCTGTGTAGTTTAGTTTGACTGTGGGCTGCTGTCGGTCCTGGAACACTGAGTGGGAATATCTGGGCAGAAAGGGTTTCAACAAAATGAGATCTCCAGATGATGGGCAATAAATAATCCTATCTGCAGCTGCAAATGCTCCTTTACTTTTTGTTTTGTTGTTATTGTTTTTTACATGTTCTAAGCATTGCACAGAAGTTCCCTTTTGACATTGCTCACCCCAGGCATGTGACACATGCCTGTAACGTGGACACTACTCAGGGGGATCATGAGTTCAGCACCAGTATGAACTAGAAAGGTCCTTTCTCAAAACCAAAAATAACAAAACAAGAGCAACAAAATAGAGTCACTCGAAGGGGGAGCGTTAGACCTGGTGGTTGAAAGTAGAGATGGCCATGCCTCTTTCTCCTTCTCAAGCTTAGAAAACCGTTCAAACAGACTCTGGGTCTGTTTCCAAAGCTGGACAAGTACAACCACCAAGGGACTGATCTTACTCTAAAATGAAGAGGTTCTTACACTTGCCTAAAATGTCGTTTGAGCCCATCAGAGTGCACCACTGAAGTAAAGGGCTACCATTTTCCATTGAGAAGATCCTAACAAAAGACTGAGGATACAACCAACAAGTCATACCGGATGAAACTACTCTAAGTTTTCACTCTTTGTGATCTGAAAGGGTGGGTCATCATTTGTGTAGAGTGTGTCTTGATTCAGATAACGAGGACCTGGTGTGTAAAAGTCGGAAACTGGCCACTTACGTACTGTTGTGCCATAGACTGGAAACAAAGGGGTCGAGGAAGATGACCACTGGACTATTAAATGGATTCCTCAATGCCTGAGTTTCCTAGCACTTAAATTCACCCTCAGTCAAATTCAGTTGGGGCTGTAAAAGAGGGTGTGGTTACTAATGAACCTGGCAAGGGTTTACAGGGAAAGATAATTACAATGCAGTATTGAAACACATTTACAGACTAAAGTGCTACAATCATAATGCCAGAAATTACATTTGGGGGAACAAACAATTAGAGCTTGATCAAATTAATCATAAATCAAAATGATTTTTGTCTTAGATCTAACTCTCTACCCTTTTTATTCAATAAACACCGGTGATAGCCCAGCAGGATAAGATGATTGGGATGGGTGACACTGTTGATGACTGGTTACCCTTAAATTGACCCCTGGTTACCCCCATTTGTTTTGGTGTAGACAGCCTCCTTCTGGACTTCCCTTAGGGCCAAGGGTCCAACCACAAAACATCCTGGCAGGCCACCTATCTGTAGCCTTCTCCCTTCTGAGAACTCAGCATGCTCTTGTGGACACAGCAAGGCTGAAGGACAGAGGGTTTCAGAGTTCCTTGCTCAGCCTCTTGAGCTACAGACGCCACACAGGAAGTGAGAGGCATTGAAACGGACTCCGCCCAGTTCTGTCTTGACCACTAACCATTTCCACTATTCAGGCTAGGGAGGCATTTAGAGGGCATTATTTTTCTTACACAGTGACTCCCCTACATGGTTTCATGGAGTTTTCAAAACAGAGCTGTGGGGCAAGTAAGCCATGACTCATCACCGCTCTAGAGGCTCAGGCCCCGCATCATCCCCAAGAACCAGAATAGCAGGGAGGACATCCACACAGAATGCACTGAGAAAGGGACCCCATTGTCCCTCACAGCAGCCAGTCACCAGCTTTGCTCCAGAAAACTGGAGTCCAAGGAGGTTTCAGGGATTGCCCAAGGCCACACGGCTGGACAGGGGAACCTTGTGACCTCACATTCAGGTTACAATTCCAAATAGCCTGTGTCTCCCACCGTCCCTATGGCCTCAACTGTAGTAGACACTTGGAGGGTATGGCAATGCCCAATCCTCAGGGCCAACTCCCCCATCAATTCTAGGCTTTACTGTTTGGGTTTTCACTTTATTTTTAATTGTATATGTACGTGAGCGTGTGGATTTGTGCATATGAGTGCAGTAACCACAGAGGCCAGAGAGAACATCAGATCCCACTGGAAAGTGGGGTCACAAGTTGTGTGAGTTGCCCTATGGAGTGGCTGGGTCTTGAACTCAAGCCGCGTTCTCCAAGAGCAGTCTGTACTTTTAATTGCTAAGCTGAGCCGTCTCTCTAGCACCGATATTAGGTTTTCAGTGTAAGCCTCCAGAAGGGCACTGAAGGTCATCCTTGCCGCTATATACAATATGTCCTGCTGTGACTTAACCTTGCTCTCTATATCAGGACACAGCTGCCTGGATGCAATAAGGCATGCTATGACTTAGCCTTGCTCAGTATTTTAGAATACAGCTTCCTGGGAAGGAAGGATCTCTAGGCAAAGCAAGTTGTAGAGACCTGGCTACTTCTCTGTAGAGCTGGTTGACAGGACTCTTCAATAACCAGCACCCTAAATATTTCACTTTTGGCAGTCTGTGGTATATGTATCTGAGGGTCTGCAGAAAGATGACTGCAACATTGGAATGTGCAAAGAGTCTGGTTGGACTCCATGTGCAGCGAACGACTTCCTCATATCCACTAATCCCCAAACAAAATAACCATCAAGAAATATTAAAACACACATTTTATTAGTTTCATTTAATTTCTTAATTGCGCCAAGTCAGTTTACTCGTTTATTACCGTGTGAAGTGGTTAGAGGCAAGGCGCACATTAAAGGGATTATTTCCGTGTAATCCCCCCCTCCCAGAGGGGAGGAGCTGATCACCGTGAGTCCCGATATGCTCTCTGTCACAGGACCTAGTGGAGGAGAGTAAGATACAGCTCAGTAGCCGAGTAAGACGGTAGGAGAGGCTAATCTAATCGCTGCAGAAAGTACCTTATTTTCGGGAAAAGTTGGGCGAGGCTTTTTCGGGAAGAGCTATTACCCAAACTGAATTTTGCCTTCTCTGTTCCTGGTTCTGCCTCTGCTAATTGATAGATGTTGAAGGTGTGTTGCCTGTTAAGACTTTAATCAAATGGTGTCTGGGAGTAGATGTGATCATCTTACAAGGGACTTGCAGTGCCGAGGGTAATAGATCTGAGCGTTCCGCTCTGCGTGACAGTTTATCCTCCCTTCCTTCCCAGCAGGAGAGATTTGGTAGAGTTTAGAGAGATGCCGGCTATTGCACAGGAAAGAGAAACGAGGTAGGAAGAGGTTTAGGTGGGAGAGTACACGTCAAGAAACTGGATGCTTTACAAACTTCCATGGCACAAAGAGCTGGCCTGAGCCCGTCTCGCTGAAAGGACAGAGAAACCCATTAGTGACCCAAGGAGAGCTTTCTCCTGTCCTGCTTCTGACCTGCCTCCCCTTGCTGCAATACCTACGAGGCAGGACGTTCTGTTAGGAGCATTACAGCTGGCCTCAGGAAGAGATAAAAGTCTGAGCTCTCTGAGAGGTGAAAGGTAAGGCCAGTCCTTGCTGGCATCTTCTGCCTGCACCCCACGCAGTGACCCAGACTCACAGACCAGGTCTGCCGGCACTGAGCTATACAGGCCTCTCTTCCACTGTTTCATATTCATCCGCTGTACTTGGAGGCAGCCCCACTCGAAGAGTACACAAAATAAAAACCCTTTTTAAAGCCCTCAAGGAGCTCTGTACCATGTATTTTATTAGATTGAAGGCAAAACAAGCTGATACCAGCAGAAAAAAAAATGTCTGCTTCAGACCCCAGCTGACCTCTTTTGCATGGAAAATTCTCCATATGATTACAGAGCTAATGAGTGATATTTAATGAAAACATTAGGCCTTTGCATATATTTGTAAGTGGCACTTTGTACATTTAAATTTACATAGAAATAAGAGGGTATTTTTTTTTTATCTTAGAAATCTGTGTATTTAAAAGAAAGACTGGCCTGCTATCTCTAGCTATTTCTGAAATGGTTTTTATACAAAGCACAAACTTCTCAGCATGAAAACTGTAGGTCTCAGTCAATCATCCAGTTGACACAGAACACACAAGTATTTGATGATGCGTGGATAAAACAGCTGAACGCAAGGCAGACTTGTCCGCATTTCACAGAATGCTTTGGCCCTGTGCAAACAACACTGTATGAGGGGGAAACTGGGCTAAACAATTGCTAAATAAATACATGTGGGAAAAAAGAATATCATTTCCCTCCCAAGAATCCTCAAGTAGCTGAAGATGGAGACTTGAAGCCGGAATTGCTGCTGCGGCCCCGAGCGTGTTTCCTTTCCGCCTCCTCCGAATCTGCATCTCTGTGCTACTGCACTGAACGCAGAAAAGCCCATGACACCTCTCTCTCTCTCCATTTCTCTCCCTCTCCAGGTGGAGCTGACAGGAAGCAGCGTCTTTGACTATGTCCACCCTGGGGACCACGTGGAGATGGCAGAGCAGCTGGGCATGAAGCTCCCGCCTGGGCGGGGCCTTCTCTCACAGGGCACCGCAGAGGACGCCGCCAGCTCAGCCTCTTCCTCCTCTCAGTCAGAGACCCCTGAGCCAGGTGGGAATTGGGTTTCAATGTGTTTGCAGTTGGCGGTTGGTGGGCAGGACCTTCGCCGAATGAGTGTGCCCGAGGTCCCCGTGTGGAGAGACTATAAATAGGACGAAGGGTATTTAAGAATTCCGTGCAGCTTTCAACCCCATGCAGTAATTAAATAAGGAAGAGATTTGAAAATAAGGAGACATTTTAATAAGTGTAATCCAGAGATCTTATTTCAGTTGAACAATGCATCCAGAAGGTCCAAGCGCCTCTGGTTTCTCTTTCAAATTACTAGAAGGAGATCTCCTGGTTTGGAACACCCTCTCCCCTTTATTCTTACACATTTATTTATTATTCAGCAAAAATCTACCCTCTGGCAGAGGCATCTTGAATATTACCTTGTAGAGAATTAAAAGTGTTAGGGATTTGCAGAAATCTTGGTTTCTTTTCTTTTTCTTTTAAGCATCAGAAGGGTACTTGAAAGATGTGAACAGATAAATTAAGGCTAAAAGGAAAACAGAAATGGCTACATTTTCCGCTGTCTTTCCACCCTCAGTATTTAATTAGATCAATTGTATAGAGGAATGAACAGAGGTGACAGCCCTCATTGGGATTCCTTCCAGGACTCTTATAGACTTTGCATTCAGAATGTTCCCATTTTCATTGTGTTGTACTGATGATAATTTAAGTATTAGGGGAAAATCCATTTATAAATTAAACAAAATGACTTGATATCCATCAGTCCCCTAGTTCATCAAGCTGTTCAAACACGGGAAAGATTGGCTGGTCGGCCTGGGTCTTCCGAGAGCGCTGGTAATTAGATCTGCGAAGGATTTATTCTTTGCTGATTGGGGCTTTAAATTAATTGAAGTTCCACATTTGTGGTTTTGTCCTTTTTGTACTTTTTTAGAGGAGATATTTCATATTCTTGTGTGGTGGAGTGCTTGGCCAAGCAGCAGTGGTTTAAATGTTAATTTTTCTCATGAGAAGTTTAAGATTTTTAATGAATCAAGGCCTGATTTCAAGTGCAAAGTTTTATTTGCTTACTTGAGAAGTTATTTTGCACTCTTCAAAGATGTCTGTGTTTGAAACCACTTGATCTGTAGTTCTAAAACAGAATTCGCAACACACAAGCATTGTATCAGAGAGGAAAATGAAAAACGCTGCCTTGAGATTAATATTAAAATGAACTACATATTTCAAGAAAATAATTTGTCCTGTCTAGAACTAATCACAATATGTGTATTCACAGGGAAAAAAAAAAAGATTGCCTCTTTTGGAAATATTTTGACTCCATATATAGAACCAAATCCATGTTTTCCCATGGAAGTTAAGGCAGGGTGTTCATTATTTATAGTGTTGGTGGGTATCCTCCAGTTAGCTTCACACATGAGAAGGGAAAATGCTTAAGACCGCTCTTTGCCCTTCAAATTGGAAACAGCTTTCTGGGGGAAGCCATGTGTTCTTTATATCATAGCTCAGTGGCCTTACTGAATGGATATGTCAGCGAGATAATTGACGCTGCTTTGCCATTGTTCGGACATCCCTAGCTGTGGGCACAGGAGAAGCAGCATGTGAGAAGGGCTTTGCATTCATTCGTTCTGAAGATGGATCAGGGAGCCTTGGTTCCTCGTGACCCGGTGGAGAGGAATTTGAATTTAAAAGCTGTCGTTTAAAGGAAGGTCTTGAGACCATGGATTCTGTGTCTGTGAGTCACACACTTGACTTCAGGAACTTCTCAGTCATTTAGCACAAATTTCAGCATCAGCAGCAAGGCCAACAGGTGTCTCTGTTATCACCTGGCGTGAAGCTGATGAGTTAGTAAAGCTGCCCGCCCCTACGGCTGAGCAGTTCCTAGCAGAGCTAGCCCTGGCTTGAAGCCCACGTCTCCCATCTCCTTCACTGGAACTTCACGCCGTATCTCAGATGGTGCCCTGCTCCTTACTGTAGACACCCAACTGTGTCATATGAGAGACATCAAGCCCCCCCGCCCCCCCCCCCGTTTCTGCTGCTCCCAGGTTAGACCACAGATTCCACAGTCACGTATCATCTACTGGTGTGTTTCTCAGAACCTCATCACCCACACCGTCTTCTCTTGCCTGGGTGGCAGTTTGTTGATGACCCTCTAACAGTATACATGCTTCTAGGAACTGAGCACAGCTCTTTAGATGCTTGATGACCGTTTCAAAGAGAACTGTCACCTTTTGGCTTCAGATAATGAGCTCCGTTAATGCAACCCAAGGGTAAATTGTATGTAGCTGGAAGCCAGATCACCTCCTCCACTCACCTGGAGCTTGCTGTTTCTCCAGACAGGTCTTTAGGGTGGTCTGTTTCCTGAAAGTGACGTTGGGAGGAAAAGAAAAGGACAGCCTTTAAACTGGCTCTGCTAGGGCTCACAGCAAACCCCGATAAACATTCTAAGGAAAGACATTTGATAAACCCCACGCCTTCTATAAGACCGTTAATATGCCCAGAACAGCTCTTGGCACCCTGGAGCCCTGCCCTCACTTGTTACTCCTTCTAGACAACTGGAGACCACAGCTGGCCTTCTCAAAGGGCTCACTCCTGCATGCGTCACCATGATCCTCTCCTTCTGACCTACTCTATCATTTACGTCAACAACCGATTGAAAGGCACCGACTTGGCCTTCCTGCAGTCATTCCCACTCAACACCCTTGAAACTCTGCTTTTCCCCACTACTTAAGGATGAGAGCCCATCAGCTATGTTCCCACAGGAAAGGGCTCCTTTCCTACATGGTGAATGTGACTCCTGCCATCAGGGAATGCCAATCCATCTTAGCCCTACAGGTCTATAGAATTTGGTTATTTTCCATTCTGGCTTAGAAACACAGTTAGGTTGACTACTCGGATACTGAAAAGCAGCATAGGGTGCTACCTGGGATGAAATATCTTCACTAATATGGACGATTGCTCAAAGGGAATTGCTTTAAAAGAACAGGTCAGGCACTATGTCCCGAAGCTGCTTATGATTCCCAATAGCTGAAAGAATTTTAACAAGATTTTCTAATTCTTAATAACATGAGGGAACATTTTTGGAGACTCTTGTTCACTGCCTTGTAATGTTCTAAACTCTGGTGAAGCGCAGATTCCTTTCTATATCCTGGTGAAATTTGGTTGGAAAATGGATATTGATATATGGTTATTATGGAGATGAAAGGACTAGCGGGTAAGGGATATTTCAGGCTCCCTGATGTGTGCAGTGTGGCATTACTAAATGACTAAAATCTAAATAACACTTGGCATTGTGATGAAAGGAAGTCAGTGAGTAAAGCCATTTCAGGGCGGCTCCCCTGGGCCATGGTGGGAACTCTGTTTCCGTGAGCTGCCAAGCCTCTGAGTCTCTTGTCTTGAATCAGTCTCAAGATAATGGGGGAGGGGGAGCAGGCATCTGTTGACTTGACAGCTAACCCAAATAAATATTTTACCTGGGTACACATTTAGAGGTAGTTTAGTAAATATGTTATTTCCTTTGGAGAAATCTAAAGTCAGGCATTGGAAAAATAAGTGGGCACTCCGGCTTTTAGAAGCCCCGGTTTGCCTGAGTGCCTTTTCTTGGGAGGCATATCAGAATATTCTGGAAGAGACTGCCCTTCACCGTCCGGCAGGCAGTCATTTCTCTTCTCCTGCAGGCTGTGACGACATGGGAGCACAGAGCCTCTGTGCACGCTGTTGGGATGGTGCGTCTTCACTGTGTAGATCTGCCTGTGCTTCTTCACTGCTCTTAACGATTCTGCATCTTGGGATTACAAGTCCTATCTTCTTTTCATAAATCTCAATACTGTGCCCTAGGAATGCTTGGTAAACAGAAAGGCAGCTTCTCCCAGAAGTCCTGGAGGAACTTTAAAAATCTCCTGTTTTGAAGACAGAATAATTTTCCTTGAGATATCATAAAATGGTATTTCTACTTGTCCTTGTTAATATAACAGCTTTTACAGTTATAAATTCAATTCAGAGTCATCATGAAACCTTTAAAATATGCAGAAGAGACAGGGGGAAGGCCAGCCAATGCTATTTAGAAGTAACCACATTTGTACATGGGCACTACACAGCCTTCTAGACTTCCTCTTTCTTCCTGTACATAGGATATCTTCCAGTAGGCATATATACATAGGATACCTTCCTGTAGGCATATATACATGGGAAGGAAGCTCAGCAGAGCATGTTGCTTGGTTTTGTCTTGTATGTTTTCCTAAGATCCTGACAGCCATCCTTCTGGTAGCCTGATTTTTTTGTACAACCTCACAAGCATCTTTCTGTATCACATTTCTCTGTTTAAACTGCGATTTTGTCTGTCTCAAGCAGTTCGCCTCCTATGAGATAGCAATCAGCGCCTGCCTTGGGCCTCTGTCAGGAGCCGCAGGCCCGGGTCCTACTTGGGAAGAACTCAGTGAGGACAAGAGCTTCTTGTAGCTTCCTGGGTGGGTGTGCGTTGGTAGGAGGAGAAATCAATACTGTACTAGGATTTAGAGAAGTTATCGAAACATATGAGACAGTATTCGGTGAAGGATAGCTATGATAGCATCGCTAACCACTGTTGGATAAAACATCAGCTACCATGTTTTCTCTCACATTTCAGGTAGAATCTAGTGTACACTGTAGGCTCAGAAGGTAGCCACTGGTCTAATCTCTGTGCCTGTAATGCCTCTTCTATGACCTGAAGGCTGTAAGGGATGGACAAACAGAGCAGAGAGTGTTTGTCTAAGTGGAAATGACCTGCATTTTCTGTGCATATCTCAATGCCATGGTAAATTTGATCGACTCCTCAGATTATAGAACAGGGACTTAAATCCTAACATGACTGGAGGGTTTTCAAAAAGGTGAGAAAATTAGAGACGCAAATGGCAAGCAATCACAATAAAAAAAAAATACAAACTTATCTAAAGATCAAGTCAATGTTTTACTGGTTGGATATGTGTGGATTATTGGTCATCTGGTTTGGATAGGATTTTTTGCTTTTTTTTTCGGTTTGATTTAGTTTGGTTCTTATCGATGAACTGAATTTAGACATTGGACAGGGGAGACCATCTCAGTAACCTCACATCCAGCCCCAGTCCCCAGACAATGTGACTGTATCCACAGCACTGTCTGCTATACTGCAAATGTCAAACAGAAGGTGTAATGGATTTAATATTAGCGCTAGCCAAGGTGTTGAGGGAGCTGTTAATAATGTCACTCCAGTTATTGATCTGAAGCCTTTAAAAATCAGAGCAAAGCGAGAGATCCTGTGCTGGGGACAGGCACCGGTGAGTGGTTTTTATTGCCGATCTGTTTCTACATACAGAGGGAAGGCTCCGGAATTGTGTTATTGCCATTAATCTGTGGGCGATGATTTTGGAGTTCTTGTATGGTAAGATAATATCGTGGGGACCGTCCTGAATGTTAGTGTTTAGAACAAGCCCTTGTAGCCATAAGCCAATCTCACGTCCTGCGTGATGACTGCAGCAAGGGTACAAGTTGTCACACAATAGGGTCCTAGCACAGTGACAGAGCCGGAGCCCCTGGAAGTGAGCACAGGAAACTCTGCGGCACTCTTCTTAAGACAACCCCTGGCACGACTACGTTAAGATGGAAATGGATTTTGTCCCTGCAGTTAGGGACCGCTTCAGGAAGTCAATCCTTCCGTCTTACTGGCAATAAAATCTGTTTGCAATAAAATCCCCATTTTCTCTAGTCCCAAACTAATAAGTGAAATCAAAAATTCTAATTTATATTGAATGTTTGTCAAACTATAAATACGCATTTAATTCCCTTCCAGTTTCACTCAGCGTAAATGGAGATAAATCCATCAGCTGGTGCGGTCCAGTCCTCTCTGCTGGACTGAATATGAAGTGTTGTCACTGGCGCGCTAACATTTAACCTTAGGAACACATTCGCAGCCCCTAACCTTACCTGTCACCTGTTAATTCCCAGGTGCCCATGCACACGGCAAGCGTCATAGACACACCCCAGCAAAACTAGTATTTTAGTTTCCCAAAGAGATCAACATGTTGGGGTAAGTTGAGCTTCTTGTACAAAATTATATCTCCAATATGATTTCTTATTTTTAACCATGACATTGTTATTTCAAAATAAAATCTAATTTGTCTTCGTGGCAGTCATGAATGCAATACACACTGTAAACAGAAGTCCTTCATAAGCTCAGTTCTCGAGAGGAACAGTTTTTGAACGTTTCAGGCCAGTGAGGTCTGTTTGGTGAGAACAAGGCTGGCCTAGGTTATACAGCACCTCATCTCCGAAGAAAGGAAATGAAAACAGCATCCAGTGCTTTGACTGGGTACTGGCTAATGTACTTGGCAAATTTAGAGGCATTCCCTTACCAAGAAGGAAGGAAGGAAGGAAGGAAGGAAGGAAGGAACGAAGGAACGAAGGAACGAAGGAACGAAGGAACGAAGGAACGAACGAAGGAAGGAAGGAACGAAGGAACGAACGAAGGAAGGAAGGAACAAAGGAAGGAAGGAAGGAAAAAAGGCTCCATTTTTTTCCCTGCAGAAGTCAGGCTTTTTGTTGGTTGGTTGGTTGGTTGGTTGGTTGGTTGGTTGGTTGGTTGGTTGGTTGGTTTTTTTCGAGACAAGGTTTCTCAGTAGCATTGGTGCCTGTCCTGGAATTAGCTCTTGTAGACCAGGCTGGCCTTGAACTCACAGAGATCCTCCTGCCTCTGCCCCCTGAGTGCAGGGATTAAAGGCGTGTGCCACCACCACCCAGCTCATTTTTAAATGTCACTTTTATCTCCAAGTAAGCTAAACAAGACCACCTAGAACACACTACCAAAGGGAACATACCCTGCCCTGCTCCGCCTTGCCCTTTTCCGGCAGTCAGACATAGGCCCACCTACCACCTTAACCGTGTTTGCCCACGCTGTGCTGCTTGTCAGCCCATGGTATGGACACTTGCGAAGCTGACTTATAATTTCAGAATCTTGCCAGGGTCAACTTAAGAAAAATAAATCAAAATATTCTTAATATTCTTCCCACCAGGCCCTTCTGGCCCACCCTTCCTAAGTGCCGCTCTTCCAGGTCAGCACTGGGGACAGACATCCTTTGGGACCTGGTACTGGGACTTTGAAGTCAGTGCTCGTGATCCCTTCCCACAGAAGACAGTCTCCCTTCCAGTCCAATTGCAACTCTAAATACCACTCTGGAACTAACTTTCCCTTCCAAAGTTGATACATACATGTATATATACACACATGGCTTTTATGAAAATTAATACAATGGTATTTTCAGGGTCAATTTTATTCACTAACAGAAACAAAGACCAAAAAAATAAAATAGATTTACTCAGTGTATCCCTGTGTACAGTCGCATGTATGTTTACATGTATATCTGAATGTGTATTTGTATGCATGCATATTTTCCCCTAAGGCACCCTAGTAAAAAGGTTTAGGAAATCAATTCTTAAACCCATTTTTTGTAAGTTCCCTTAAATAGCTTTCCAGGTTGTAATTTTTACTTCCATTTACCTATAATGACGAGGGGTACATTTCTCAAGTTTCTAGAATGGAACCTAATACAAGTTGTTAATGATGACATGTTCTGCCCATTAAAAAAAATGTGGATGTCTTTGTCACTGGATAATTAAAAATTATAGATTCTACAGCTGTTGCTTTGAAGAAAGCACAGGTTATTTGCTTTTAATACATATCACTGCACAGAAATTTCATCCCTGTCCAAATTATACCGTTCTGAATTCTTCATCTGCACTAAACAGCGGCCGCACAAAGGATCAGTTACCTGGCATTGACTGAGCTTTGCAGGGTGCACACACCAAAAGAGGCAGAACTGGCTGGAAACCATTTCCACCCCTAGTGAGCAATTTACTCATGATTGCTCGGGGAAAATACTGGAAATATTGCTTCTGTGTAAAGTTTGCAACTTCCAGTTGTCAGCTCTTTGCCAAGCAGTTGTTCCCAAGTGTGGCCTTTGTGCACAATCCGCTCTGGCCACTGTGATCATGGTGGCATGCCTACCCTGCTTTGGTGTATGCAGAGCACAGTAACTGCTAATTACAGGAGTTAATTCGCACGGTATTCCTCGGAGGCAGGTCAGTGTGCTACCCTTGTTCTGCGGCTGGGGGGAAGTGATAGAAATTCTAAGTGGCTTGCCCCAAGCCACGCAGGTTAGGTTTAGCAGCCAAGATTAAAAGAAAGGGTGCAATATTAATGTTGAAGTAAGTGGGGAGCCAGGGAATAGATGGGGGAAAATGAGATGGCAACATGGTAGGAATCAAACCAGAGGAATTTTCTCCAAAGAGATTCAAAGTCCAAAGAGAAACCTAATTATCCCCTTATACGTATTATACATATACATACATATACTCTGAGCTAAAATCCTTTTTAGTAATAGAGTTTCTTATTAGGGGAAAATCCACCTAGTTTTTTCTTTGCTTTCATGTCTGCAATGAAAATCTTAATGCCACAGTGAACATTTGAACAAAATATAGTCAAGATTCAACCCTTGTTCCACATTCACTGGGTGACCCCAGGCCAGGAGCACAATCAAAATTGTGTGCTCTCAAAATTGTGTGTGCAGCTTGACTCTGCCTCAGCCAGTGCTGGGCATGGATCTGTGCAACTTCCTCAGCCCCTTGGTCTAGGAGAAGTCACCAAGGCAGGCTGAGATAGACAAAGGACAACAGTGTCCGTCAGGAGATAGACATGGCCGGGAGGTATCTTCTGCCAATGAGATACAATCCTGGTTCCTAAGGACCCTCTAGAAACAATACCCAACTTCTGCTGGTTGACAGCATCAGAGTGGAGCAGGGGAGGGCTTAAGTCTTTTCTCTATTGATTATTAGCCAGAGTTTCAAGATACAGGCACAATTGGCAATAGAGACAGTGTGGATTACTCGACAA